GGACCCCCGGGGCTCCCTGGGGCCGCAGCCCTCGCGAGGGGAGCGTTACTCCTGCCGCGTCCCCCTGCCCCTCTCCTGTTTTTAACGTACAGTGCGTGTCTATACGTTACGCGTGTACGTTTGTCTCTTAAGTTTGCGAGCGTGCAGGGTAGGTTTGTGGGCCAACGCTGCGGGGAAGCGCGTGAAAGTGAAATCGCAGGTGTGTGGTAGGTAGCTAGCTGCGTGCCTCTGAAACACAGAGAGATAACAGGAGAGCTTCTGTGCGATTCCTAAAGCAGTGCTAGCCTCCGGTTGCTTTGCGCAGTAGTTGACTTTTCTCTGCTATCACTGACTGGTGTCTGTGAAATGCATATGCTCCTGTATAGGTACCAGAGTGGATAGGGTTTTCTTTGGGTAAACTCTGTATCCTTCCCAGGGTCTGTTGCTTCAGTGATAAAGAGTAGCATGATAAAACAGTTTGTCTAAAACTCAGTGTGTTTTGAGTGATGCACAGTGATTTAAGCTATTTCTGGTACTATTTTCTTGTTAAATACTTGCTTTTGTGTCTAGTAAGTGGTTCTGGGGTTTTAAAAAATGATTCTAGGCTCAGTTTGTAATTCCAAAGAGCTTTTATTTGGGTCAAGCAAAAACCATAGCAAAGAAGGGACACTCTATTTCGCCAGAGCGATGATATCTGACCACGGGGGTATCTAAAATAACCTGCCTAGATGGGTGTCACGTTGTCAGCGTCCGCGCTGGCTCGCTGTGTGACTCATGGTCACAGTGTGCCCTCCAAGCTGTGAGGATACCTCATCCCGTGTGTCATAATAGCTGCTTGTAATAAAGAACCATTTCTGAATGAGATCGGGGTAGAGCAGCAGCCCGAGCAACAGCTTGAGGAGCCGCCACCTCTGCCCTGGATGAGGTTGAGGTGGCCAAAGCTCCCGCTCTGCGTCCACATAAGTAATTGACCTGTTGATGTTCGGGTTGCTCTCTGTTCACCTAGACTTTCTTCTCATCCAGATTACAAGAGTTAGAACTTGATAAAAGTGTTATTAAAATAAGTATTACTGCCGTACAATTAAGTAGTGTTAGTGCTCTGTATGACTATGTCTTCATTCCAGCAGCTGCTGCCAATTACTGGTTTTGGATAGTTATCTTCATAAAGACTTGAGATTTTAGAGCTTTAGGAGGATATATTTGATTTGTAGCCAATTAAAGAGCAGTTTTGCAGAAACTTGAGTGATCAAATACCTTTGTGTCAAGACTGTCATGTGCATTAATAGAGACGTCATAGATGAGAGCTGTAGTCTTGTCAATAAGTAGTAATTAAATTTAGTAGTAAGAAAATACCTTTGGTGCTTAGTTTAAAGCCAGCAAGCACAACTGGTGGACTAGTCAACTTGAGTCCTGCTTTAAAGTTATTCTTCCAACTGCTCAGTGTATATTAGCAAAAATGGCCACACTTTATCTCACATTGTTTTATTGTGGTTTGAATAATTAACATAAAGATCATGTTGTCCAAATTTGAACAACTTAAAAAAGTTAATGTGCTCTAAAGAGACCTCCCCCCCCTGCACCCCAGTGTTGGCAGTCGCTACAGTTGATCATTTTGCTCATTAGTTGCACTATTTTTTAACATGACCCACTGAGGTAGCGCGATGGGTGAAACTCATGTAACGTAAGAGGAGGAAAACTTGAAGCAAATGGCTGGAATCTAGATATAAGATCAAAAAGAAAGAAAAAACCCTTAAAAAAATCTTAACACCTTGTCTGTCTTAAGACAAATCTGATTTTAAAAGTGTTATTTTTATTTATATTAATTATTTTAATTTTATTATAATAATACCAGGTCCCAAGGTGGGAAAGAGCAGCCTATAGGAAGCTGACTGTTCCTGGTGGTCTTGTGTTTCTTTGCCTTCCAGATCTTTTCCTCAAGTTAATTTTGATAACACTTTTAAGAGAAATAGAAGAATCTGTTTAGACTTTATTTGGATAAGCAAGGCATTACTGACAGCAGATTTTGCAATAAATTATGTATTAATTTATGTAGTTATGCAGGAGACTGGTCCATTCTTGGGTATTTTAAAGCTTGTTCTGAACAACTTTCAGAAATGTTCTTCTCCAATGACCTCAGCTTTATGCACTCAGTGTACTATTTCAAGTTTATTTTAGTGTATTATGATGCTGCTGGGCAACTAATGTTTTTAACAAGGCATTGGTTCTTATTTTCATATGTCTGTTTTCTGTTTTCAGCAGTATATGGTAACTCTGTCAGCTTTCGACCATCCCAATAATGAAAACAGAAGCTAAGGATGGAGAAGAGGAAAGCCTGCAGACAGCTTTCAAAAAACTAAGAGTTGACACAGCTGGGTAAGTAAGACTCTGGACAGGTACAATGTTAACATCTTCCAAATGGACTGGAAAGCAACACAGTTAAATCTGATGCAATGAGATGATTTCAAAAGCTGAGATGTTAAAAGGCTTCATTCTAGTTAAGCAAATGTGAAATAAATTCACTAGCTGTAAGTTGTGTGTTTAAGGGAATTGTGACTTGGCATCTAGCTCGGAGCAGGCTTTGTGCAAATTTATGTGCTGCTAACTGCTGGCTATCATTATGAAATGAGTTTTGGCATGGATCTGTTGTCAGACCTGTCCATAGCAGTACTCTTGTAGCCAGTGTATTATGGTGGCTCTAAAGGCCTGTCACAGATATCGGGTCCCTTCTGCCTGCAGAGAAGTGATTTTTCTTTTTCCGTAGTAGTATGAAGGGTGTTAGATGCAATGCTTGTTTCTCTTACAAACTATTTTCACTGATGTCATTAGCATGTTTCCTGTTCATAACTAAAAATGCCAAATGGGAAAAGAACATTTTTTGTCTTGTTCCTAGAATGTGACACGTGTGGCACTGAACTTTGCTGTCCTCCGCAGCAGAACACAAGCAGCAAGTGTCTTCTCTTAGTGACAACCCTTTTTTGTCTTTAAAAAAAAAAAAAATTCATTTATGTTCTTCCTGCTGGTAGACAGTGTATCACACAGAGTACTGCATTCCAGTAAGCAAATGGCAGTGATGCAGTTATGCTGGTGACTGAAAATAAATGAGTTGTGTAAATATGGATTATCTTAGGACTGAAGTGGTGCCTCTTTCATCAGTATCTTCAGTCTCCCTCCCTTTCCCTTCCCCTCAGCTTGTCAGGCATATTTTAATTCTGGTAGAGATTTTATTGCAGGCCTTCAGTTTTACTGCTTTGTGTTCATAGCCTTTAAATAGAAAATAGCAGATCCTTCAATAAGTTTGGTCTCTATTAAATGTTAATTGACTTTGGTCTAGGACAGTGTGCATAGGCTTGATTTCATTTTTTTCAGAAAATAATCATGTTATTAACCAGTTGAACGACGGATTTGGAAAATAATTTGTTCCATGTGTGATGTCTCAACTCGGGGAAAAAAGTGTCCTGAGGTTATCACAACTTACTGAAAATGGGAATTTGGGATGGTTTTGTGTCACCAGAGAAATTAGTAAATCTGTTAATATTTCTGGCTGAAGTGGTTGAACTTGCAGTAGTCTGAGGAGTTTTAGCTTTAGCTTTCTCCCTAGACAGAGGCGAAAGTGTTCTTCTGATAAACAAAGTCTATTTATATCCAAAGAACATTTATTTTTAGGAAAGAATAGCTTATTTGTCTCTGGAAAAAGAGGAGTGTTTCTTCAGTGATTTTTTTCCCCCCCCCCTCCCTCCTCTCTGTTCCTCCCTCAGGCAAATCAGTGTTAGCTCTTGTGCTTCATTATAGATGTGTGAAGTTTGGATTTTAAATCTGTTTGCTGAATGGGATTTTATTTGGCAAAAGAGTTTGTGATGCCAGCTTTCAATGTGATCTTTGGTGGGCAGTTTTTTTAAGACAGTGTTATAAACCCCTTGGGATAATCTGATCAGTGCTATGAGTATAACAAAGTTTGTGAACCGTCTTCCCAAAACAATGTAGTGTTGTGAATCCCTCATTCTTCCCCACCCCGATTTTGCAGGTCTGTTGCTTCTCTTTCTGTGGGTGAAAGGACAAGCCCAAGAGGGTTGGTTAGAACAGCTGCAGAGGAAACCAAACCTAAGAACGTGTGTGCTTCTAAGGAAACCTGGCATGGGTAAGAGAAGCTTGGGATTATCAAATCACTTACAATTGCATTGGAATTGAGTTTTAAATAGTCAAGTATCCGAGTAGCTAGGCCTCTAAATGAGGGACTCAAATTTTCTTTTTAAAAAGAAAATCTTCTGCTCACATATGACTGTTCTTATACACCATTTTCTGAAGTGAAATGCTTTTCAGATTTAGGGATAGAAGCACAATCCTTATTCCTGCAATACAGATTTGAGCTATTGTTTTTTTTCAATTGGACAATCATGAATGTGACTTTCCATAATTATTTGGTGTTGCAGAGGCTGCCTTGTGAAATAGATTAAAATGCAGAATTGGTTTCTTGGTGACCTGACTGCAAAGTTCTGTGTAGACACTCAACTGAAACAAAACTGCCTTTTGCATTGGTTCATTGGTGCCATGCTGTTCTTTTAAAGGATGTTTTAATATCGTCCCATATGCTTTACTTTTCCATCTTTAAAAGCACAAGCTTCAGGCTTTGTTTCTCAGATGATACTTTTCTACTTTATACAGATGCTTGACTTGCTCCACATCAAACCCCAAGATAGGGATCCTATGCAAATACTTTGAGCTTGCAATATAAATGCACCCGAGCTGTTGCCCAGTGTTATTTCACATAGGTCTTCTGCTGTCTCTGTAATCCAAACCTTTGTATCTCTCCATGGCAGATCTGTGAAAAAGCCTTCGAGAGGAGCTGTGAGAACGCAGCGTCGCAGGCGTTCCAAGTCTCCAATTCTTCATCCTCCAAAATTTATCCACTGCAGCACGAAACCGCCTTCCACGTGCAACCAGCTGCTGCGCCAAGGCCAGAGCGATGCCCCCCATGACAGCACTGGCTTTGGGATGCCAGCCCCGAAGGCGACTTGTGTGCACGAACGGGGCCGGGTAGCTCCTGACCTCGATCGGAAGGGAGCTGCTGTCGAGTCTTTGGGAGCTCCTGTTACAGAGCTGGTGTCGGAGAACAAATCAGAAGAGTCTCCAGCTGCCGTTTCTCTGGTGTCCCAAGCGAGCCTAAAGGCTGCAGAGCTTTCTGACTTTCAGTCTGTGTCGAAACTAAACACAAACAAGCCGTGTTCGTGCGCAGCGAAGGCCTGCGAGTGCAAACGGTGGCAAAATATGGAAGTGTACAAATTCTCTGGCTTGCAGAACAGCCTCCCGTTGGCATCTGATAGAAGAACAGTTGCTGAGGACCATTCTCAGCCTTTACTATCAAGAACTCCTTCAAGTTCTCCACGCTCTTGCTCTGAGCAAGCCAGGGCCTTTGTGGATGATGTGACTATTGAAGATCTTTCGGGCTACATGGAATATTACTTGTATATTCCAAAGAAAATGTCTCACATGGCAGAGATGATGTACACCTGACAACGAGCACCAAACACGGAAGGGACTGTGGTTTAAATCTGCCTTCTGTCATGTCCATGTGAGATGGAACCCACTCCCTGCTCACTGTGCTTGCAATAAAAACACTTCCTTGGCATCTCAACTAATGCTTGTTATTCTAAGCAGGACACACTTTAGCTTAAGCATTACAGTTTAAGCTCTTAAGATAATGGAATAAATATAGTGAGTTTGGTCAGAGCATTTATGCTTAAGAGGACTAATATTTTGTAAATCTTACTCTCTTTTCAAAATAGGCCTGTTTGAGTTGTTGAGAGGAGTCTCTGGGTTTCTTGGTAATTAGAGCTCTTTATGTGAGAAACTGGTATAATTCAGCTCCTTTCAAATTTCTGTGACCTCAGATTGTAACAGTTATGCTTCCATTTTTGGAAGCATATAGATGCTTTGCCTCTGTTTTTATTCCCTAAAGGGGTATAGTGATGTCCTTTTCCAATCTCCTTAATATTACTGCACTAAATTAACTCAGGAGACTGAATCTGCTTTTCTGGAGAGGAGGCATCATTATTTCTTTGTGCCTGAAAAGAGGCTTCATTTGTGTTTGGCTAAACAGGCACCTTCCTTCCCTTATCTTCCAAGTTACTCTCTCATCAGGCAGCCCAACAAGCAAACACTTCATTTCTTACCTAAGAACATCTGGCTATTTTAACATGGATGATCAGAACAAGATTATTTGAATTATCTTGATCTCTATGGTGTTTTTTCATCTTTTTTTCCCCTTGTCTCCTGTAAGAGGAAAATGTAAAACAAGCCTAACCTTTTATTGGATGTCCAGCAAACCTTAGAGATTTGTCTGCAGCAGCAGTAGCACCTTGCTTTCTGCAGTGGAATTGCTTCTGAAGTTAAGTAAAGGGCAAAAAATGAGGTAATGGACTCTGGTGTATTTTAAGAGGGTCAAAGGCAGTATTTGCCAGCTGTGGTGGGTCCTACTCTTACACTCTGTTTCTTCAGTGTATTTCACCCTGTTCAGAAATACCAAATATTGTCATTTAAATACTAGTAGTCAAGAGTTGCCAGCTGTGAAATAGGGAAATCTTGAGCATTGTGGGGTTTTTTTCCCCCTTCTTCCCCTTCAACCTTTTTCTAAACCATCATCTTGGATGCCTTGTCCAGGTCCAAAATATTGGGGGAATCTTGCTGCCTTAAGGTTTTTCAGAAGCAAGCAGCTTGCCGTAGTTCATGGGCATTGACATGGTGTCTTTTTTACAGCCATATGCATATCCAGAGCAAAGACGCAGGCTGTCGAGTTCTTCCTAGCCAAATTCTGTGTGTTCCTCGGGCTTCTGTCGTCCCTGTGGCAGTACCTGATGTCTGATTGAAAATGTATTTACCTGGGTGCTAATTCAGCTGTTAACTGCCAGAAGTCATAAAGTGTCATTCACCTTTTGCAGGTTGGATCCTGTGTCTCCCTTCATTTCTGAGTTCTGAGAGCTCCATCTTTGCCACCTGTATTTAGAATTTGCCACCTGTGTTTTTTGTAATTGCATGCAGCTGGGCTGCCGAAGTGTCACACTTTTTCTTCAAGAAATGTCCTTTGCTATTCCCAAATATCTGCATGTAGAAGCCCTGTTACATGTAACATCATAGGTATTGTGGGGCATGCAAATACCTTTCCATTGGGCTGGGCTTTTTGCTGTTTCTTTGCTTTTTCACTGCAGAGCCCATGAAGTGCTCGATGCTGTTCTGGAAAGCGCGCTGGAATCCGGGGAGCACCTAAAAACCAGGGGAAGGTGACGGGGCCGCCGGGCCGGGGAGCGGGCGCTGCCGGCGCCGCTAGAGGTCGGGCCCGGCCGAGCAGCCGGCGGCGCCCCAGGCCTGGCACGAACAGGGGGTTTCGCTGCCAAGATGAAGAAATGAGAGCAGATCCGAGCGGTGCCTTAATATGCACAAAATGTGCGTCTTCCCTGCAGCTCGACTGCGCGTTTAGACAGCCGTCAAGTCGCAACGTGAGCCTCTCCCTGCATGGGCAGGACTTACCCATAAACAGTGTCCCCTCAGTTTGTAAACAGCCATGCAATTAGGCAGAGCTTCTAAATAAATAATTGTGTGGTCCCGAACTTGGCGTCCTTTTAGAGTGGTTACAACATATTTGGGCTGGTAAATCCCAGAACACCATGAAGTGGGGAGCCTCTGGATGGTTGCAACTGCTGCCTTAACACTTTCCATTCTATTACTACAAGTAGTTTTCAGATGCTTTGGTCTATCTAGAAGCCACAAAACAATCCTGTGGTTTTGTTTTAAGAAAATATAGGTTTTTTTTTTCTCCCCCCCTCACCCCAATACTTGCTGAGACAGAGAACTTAAGTTTGTGAGGGCTTAGAAATGAGGAAACAAGTGTTTGCTGCTTGTTCTGAATAATTCTGTCTGGCCACTTTGAAGATTGGATTCACTTAGGTGCTTTAGAGGGCCAGCCCTGCCAGGTGGCACTCCTGAGTCTTGTCCAAGTCCCCTGCTGAAGTGGCCATCCCTTTCTTCAAGTGACTGAGGGAAAATGAGGCTCTTTCCTCCTAGTTTTGTCATGGGCAGTTACCTTTCACATGAGGCTGGGCATTGCAATGCTTAAGAGCACGAATCAGCCCTTTTTACCTGGCTGCTCGGGAGGACTTACAGGTACTGCAGTTTATATGCGATGTACACACATTTAGCTATTCTTGCAGTTATGTATAGGGTTTTTTGTCTGTTTTTTTTTTTTTTTTTTGGAAAGGCATTGGGAGATTGTTTGAGTTGCAGAGCTGGGCTATGCTGGTATGAAATTTGCGGAAGTCTGTGGCAGCTCTGCATGGGAGCTGGGAGAGGGAGAGCGTGGGAGCTGCTCTCGCTGCCCTGTCCCAGCCGAGCGCACAACCCGCCGGCACCAGCGCTTCAGTCCTTGTCCCCCGCC